CTGCAGATGTTGTTAAAATTACTAATCAGTCGATTTTGAGTTACTCAAAAGGGAGATTATCAGGTAGGCTCAATCTAGTCACGTCTACCCTTTAAAAGCATGGAATTTTCTTGAGCTGGTAATAGGAAAAGACATCAGAGAGACTTGCAAGATGAGAAGAAATCGACTTGCTGCTGCTGACTTGACAATGGAGGTGAGGACAGGGTACATATTGTGGGCAGTCTCCACCAGGAACCAGGAACCTCTGTCCTACAACCACAAGGGACTGACTTCTTCCTACAAGCTAAACTGACTTGAAAGCAAATTCTCCCTTACAACCTTCCGATGAGCTCCACACAACCAACACCTGAATTTTGGTTTTCTAGGACACGAACCCCCTCCCTGTCTGTCAGCTTGTCATAGTGCAGTGACTTGCATGAAGCTATGAAGCTGGAAGCTATGCCACCAGTATTACAAATACCACCACATTCATCCATGAACAATGGAAATATTTCCAAAACCGGGTGCAGCTCTGGAAGTGTTCACTTTTACATACCAAGAAATTTGGAAGCCAGCTTCTAGGTTTTTCGTCCTAGCCCACAGTAGGTCTAGAGCCTTGTTGAAACCTGTTCAGCACCATGAAAACATACATGGTGATGCCGATGGGTGAGTGGTGAAGGCACGGAGTGCACTGCCGGGAACCTCACCTGAATATCTTGCATAAATGTAAGACGAGGTACATATAGGTATCCATCCAACAAAAGGTGATTCAACAGTCATTTTACAAGTTTTCAGGAGAGACCAATCCCTGGAGAAGGACATCGTACTTAGTAAATAGAGGGTCAGTAAGAAAGAGGACAACTCACAAAATAGACTTAGTTGCTACAACAATGGGCTCCAACCTAACAACCATTGGGAGGGTGGCAAAGGACGGAGCTGCGTTTCATTCTGTCCCACATGGGGTCAGTTAGTGTAGGTGCTGACGCGAGGGCACTAACAAGAACAGTAAGCCAAGAACCCAGGTGAGCCTTTCAAGTCTGCAGCCCCATGTATCTGTAAGATAATAATGGATGCTGTTTTAAGCAAGGACACTCCTGGTCATTTGTTATGCACCAATAGGAAACGAATATGGTTAGAAAAATGTTATAGAAACGATTTTGTTTATTGTTCCCATTTTATCCATAAAGAATCTGAACCCAGAGAAGTTGAGGGACTTAGGAAATTGAAACAAAGTCGAAACAAGAATACAGGCCACCTGGGTCCACAGACCAACGCTCCCTCCCCAGCCCGCTCCCCTGCTCACAGTGGTCTTTCCAGGCTCATGTCACCTAGTTTGGTTCAGAATATCAGAGGGAAGACAAGACTGTCACTTGAGGTCGCTTCCACCGTTATGATTCTAATGTATTTCTTGATTTCTAAAAAATGAACTACAATTGATATTGAACGCAAGACACTTCTCTAATTTAAAAACAATCAATAATATTTCTAACTTTCATCAGAGATTTAATATGCTGGCAATACCACGCAATCCACTGCCTTCTCCAGTAAATGACAATTTCAGTTTTCAATTCAGTGAAGTTCAGCAAATTTTACCCTATTCAAATTCCCTAGGAGGTTATACTTGGAGGAATTGTTCAAGGCAGGGTTGTACAATTTTCCTAACTGAAGCAACTTCAATTTTTTGAACAAAATATAAAGAAAGTTATGGTGTTTTTATGAAGCAAAACCTTCTTAAAAGTCATCTATATCTTCACATTATTTCTGTGATAGAATGTCAAACACTGCCACGTGTATTTAATTATAGTAACTTATTTGGAAGGGAATGCCATACGTTGGATTTCTAATAATTGTCAAGACTAAAATATCCAGTAGTGATTGTCCCTAATGAGTATAATACAATTCATGACTGTGTGAGGGATAACGGAAACTTGGACAAAAACAAGTAATTCGGAAGGTTTGCTCACTTCCTAAACATGATTCCATTCAGGCACACCAAAAATACCCACTAAATTACTGTTTGTTTGAGAAACCCATTTTAAAATGATGTGTATATATACATGTTTCCAGATTAATTTGGCAACAACTTACTTTCTCCTTGGATGATCCTGGGGTTTGGGGTGTTTTGGTTTTTTTTGCCTCATCTTGCAACTTCTTTTAACTGAAGACTCCTTGCATCCTTTTTGGAGATGGTGCTGAATGGTGATTGATGGCCTTTCTTATTTACTTGCCCCAGTCCTGCTTCAAGGAAGCCACTCAAGGGAACAAAAACCCCCAAACAAACACAGCCATTGAGACGATTCTAGTGACCTAGAGAGGATTTCTAAGGCTGTAAATCTTTACAGGAGCAGAGCCTCTTTTTTCCCCCTTGGACAAGTTGGTAGGTTTGAACCAACAACCATGTGATTAACAGTCCAACACTTACCTGACAGCACTACTAGGGCTACCCAAGAAGAGTCAGGACCTTGAAAATGCATGTTCATATGCACTTCGGTATCCTTCCATCTCTTACTAATTGTTATGAAGAGAAAACCGCCCTGGTACTCACTTGATGGCACAGTGTTTCTTGTCTTACAGAGACTTCAGGTTCCAAATTCGGAGCTATTTCAGGTTTTTACCGAAGGCCATTGCTGTCCAATATTCCTCTTCGTGATGGATAGACATGGTCTCCTCTCAATGGGTAGTAGCCATGGAAGGCACACACAGTTAAGTTCTTCGCTATTAACCAGAGGATGGCAGTTCAAACAAACTCAAGAGTTCATCTAAAGACAGGCCTGTTCGTTTGTTACCAAAAGACCGTAGCTTTGAAAACCCAGTTATTGGTACTAGGTGTGGCAGTCCTGACTCACAGGGCCCCTCTGTACAACAGGACAAAACACCGCCTGGGCCCGAGGCAGCTTCACCACCAGTCATGCTTGAACCCGTTATGACAGTCATTGTGTCGATCCATCTCTTCAAGAGTCTTCCTCCTTTTCACGACCCCGCCGCTTTACCAAGAATCAAGTCCTGCTCCAGGGACTGGTCTCTCCTGATAATACGTCCAAAGTACAAGAGATAACATTTTGCCATTCTGCCTCTAAGAAGCATTCTGGCTGTACTTCTTCCTGGAAGCTAGACAGATTTAGTTCATCTCTTGGCAATTCATGGTGCTTTGAGTATTCTTTGATATAGATCAAATGCATATTTTTTTCAGCCTTCCTCATTCAATGTCTAACGTTCACATGAAAAGGAGGCCATTCAAAGTGCCATGGCCTGGGATGGGCACACCTTTGTCCTCAAAGGAAACCCCCTGATTTTCAATACTTTTAAAGAGTTGTGTGCAGCAGATTAACCCAATGCAATGTGCCATTTGCTCTCTTGACGGCAGCTTCCATGACCATTGACTGTGGATCCAAGCAAGATGAAATCCTTGACAACTACAATATTTTCTCCATTTATCATCATGTTACCTATTTGACCAGTTGTGAGGATTTTGGTCTTCTTTACACTGAGTTGTTATCCATGCTGAAGGCTGCAAACCTTGATCTTCATCAGCAAGTAAGGTTGTGTATTCTGCACTTCACAGGTTGTTAATAAGCCTTCCTGCAAACCTGATGCTACATCTTTCTTCAGATGATCCAGCTTCTCTAATACTTTGCTCAGCATACAGATTGAACAAATACAGTGAGAGGACACAATCCTGATAGATTTTAAATCATGTTTAACCCCTTGTTTCTGTCCAGACAAATGCCTCTTGGTCTGTGTGCAGTTTCTGCATGAGCACAATGAAGTCTTCTGGAATTCCCATTCTCCTCAAGTCTATCCCTAGTTTGTGATGACCCACACAGTCGAACGACTAGGCATTGTCACTAAAACACAAGTAAACATATTTTTGGTATTCTCTGCTTTCAGCCACGATCCATTTGATGCCAGCAATGATATCCCTTATCCCACATCCTCTTCTGAATCTGGCCTGAACTTCTGACAGCTCCTTGTAAATATACTGCTGCAACCATTATTGGGTGTTTTTCAGCAAAATTGTACTTTCCTGTAATATCAATAGTATTGTTCTGTAATTGGAGCATTCTGCCGAGCCACCTTTCTTTGGAATGGGTACTAATATGGATCTCTTACAGTCAATTGACCAAACAACTATTTTCCAAATTTCCTGGTGTAGATAGGTGAGTGCTCCCAGTGCTTCATCAGATTGTTGAAACATTTCAATCAGTTTTCCATCATTCCTGGAGTCTTGTTTTTAGCTAATACTTAAAGTACAGCTTGAAATTCTTCCTTCAATACCCTTGGTTCTTGCTCATATGCTACCTCTTGAAATGGTTGAATGCTGACTAGTTTTTTGGTACAGTCTCTCCATTTTAATGTTTCCTTCCTTATTTAATAATATGCTCATATATACTCTCAATATTGTACCTTGAGGCTAGAATGATTTCTTTAACTCTTTCAGTTTAAGATATGTTGGCCGTGTTCTTCCTTTTGGTTTTCTAACTCTAGGTCTTTTGTAAGATTTTTCATTGTCTTCTCAAACTGCCCTTAGAAATTTTCTGTTTACCTCTTTGACTTCATTATTTCTTCCATTTACCTTAGCTACTCTATGATCAAGAGCAAGTGTCAGAATTTCTTTTGAGAACCAATTTGATCTTTTCTTTCTTTCCTGTCTTCTTAATGACCTTTTGCTTTTTTTTCATCTATGATGTTCTTGATGTCCTCCCATAGCTCATCAGGACTTTTGTCATTAATGTTTAATGCATCAATCTGTTCTTCAGATGTTCTGCATATTCAAGTGGAATAGTCTCAAGGTCCTATTTTGCCTCTGGTAGACTCGTTTTCAGTTTCTTTGGCTTCGAACTGAACTTATATATGAGCAATTGATGGTCTGTTCCACAGTCAGTTCCTGGCCTGGTTTTAGCTGCAATATTGAATTTCTCCATCTTCTCTTCGCACAGATGTAGTAATTTGATTCCTGTGTATTCTGTCTGGAGAAGTCCATATGGATAGTCACATTTTGTGTTGTTGAAAAGGGTATTTTAACCCTCCACCTCCCTTTCCCATCGGATCAAAACACCGGTCTGGGTGGTCGTAAAAGGAGGAAAAGAAACATGGAAGTTGCCCCGCTGTGCTCTTGGAGCTTGGGCAAGTTTCAAACAGGGTAAAAAAAAGATGGGGTGGGGGCGTATTTTAGATCAAGTAGTCCCTGGTCTTGCAAAATTCTGTCACGAGATCTCCAGTTTTGCTTCCATTATCAAGTCCATATTTTCCAATTACTGTTTCTTCTTCTTTGTTTCCAACTTTTGCATTCCAATCGCCAATAATTATGAATGCTTCTTGACTGCATGCCTGATCAATTTCAGACTGAAGACATAGATAGAATTCTTCCTTTTCTGCATTACTAGCTTTAGAGGTTGGTGTATAAATTTGTATAATCATTGTATTTATTTGATTTCTATGTATGTGGATAGACATTATCCTATCACAGACAGCATTGTGCTTCAAGATAGATGTTGAAATGCCCTTTTTGATGATAAATACAATTCCATTCCTCTTGATTGTATAATTGCTGACACAGTAAGCCTTATGATTTTCTGGTTCGAAATGGCCAATACCAGTACATTTCACCTCCGTAACTCCTGTACTATCAGTTTTTAATTGTTCCATTTAATTTTTAAGGACTTCCAATTTTCCTACAGTCATACTTGGTATATTTCAGAAAAGGCAGATTACATGAAGAAGAATATAGCATTAGGCTTGGGGAAGGATTATTTACAATTTCCAGGGTGCAGATTGCACAACCTTGCTTACTGAAAGTGAGGAGGACTTGAAACACTTCCTGATGAAGATAAAGGACTGAGCCCTTCGATATGGATTATAACTCAATGTAAAGAAGATCAAGATCCTTATTACTGGACCCACAGTAACCATCAGGATAAATGAAGAAAAGATTGAAGTTGTCCAGGATTTCATCTGGCTTGAATCCATAATCAATGCTCATGGAAGCAGCAGTCAAGAGATCAAATGACACATTGCATTGGGTAAATCTTTGGATTGTTGAAAAACAGAGAGTTTACTTTGAAGACTAAGACATGTCTGACCCAAACCATGGTATTTTCAATTGCCTCTTATGTGTGTGAGAGTTGACTATTTAATAAGGAAGTCTGAAGGATTGATGAGTTTGATTATGATGTTGGCAAAGGATATTCGAAGTACCATGAACTGCCAAAGTAACAAAACAAATCTGTCTGGGAAGTAGTATGGGACAGCCAGAATGCACCTTAGAGGCAAGGATAAGGATATTTTGTCTCATGTACTTTGGACAAGTTATCAGGTAGCATGGTTGATAAAGCAGAGGGACAGTGAAACAGAGGAAGGCCTTCAAGAATGTGGCTTGGCACATTGGCTGCAACAATGGCCTCAAGCATGGGAACACTTCTGAGAAGGGTGCGGGACAGGGCAGTGTTTCATTCTGCTGTGCCTGTGGTAGCTATGGTCAGAATTGACACAACGGTGCCTAAGAACAACAACAGTAGGGTTTTTTAGCAGAGGTTACAGCAGTTTTTCTCATTTTGAGTTGTGCCTCATCCACAAATGATGGTCCTGAAGGCTTTGCTTCCTCTGAGCCACATTGGTCCACTCCACTGTCAGAAGGCTACTCTTCCTCTGTTAGAGTTTGATTACCTTCTAGCCTGTGGGGTTCATTTTCTGGCACCATCTCTGATAACACTCTAAGGTTTTCAATGTCATACAATGTTCCAGTGTCATCCCTAGGGTTGTATTGGCTAATTCCTCTGAAATGGACAGCCTATTCTTTTTTGCAATCTGCTCTTAGTCCATAAGCTCTGCTGGGTGATATACCTGGTATTTGAAATACCAGTGGCATGGCCTTTAGCACCAGAGCAACACGCATATCAACACGGTCCAGCAAAATGACAGACAAGTGGTGGGGAAAAGCCTATGGAGTAGTTCTTTTCTACACGCATGAGGTCACCATGAGTCAGCACAGACTCCACCACAGCCAGCAACAACAAGATGCACAGGTGGCCTTTAAGTGCTTGGAATGTGGCTGATGTTACTTAAGAACTCAATTTTATTTTTATTTCCCTTTAATTAATTTACATTTAAATAGCCACATGTGGCAATTAACTACTGCACTGCGTAGTACAGTCACAGAGATTTAGGTCAGGACCGGCAGAGCTACTTAAGATGCATGGTAGGCAAGTTCTGGGAAGTGTCTTCTGGCCCCTCTGATGTGTGCTTCTTCAGCAAATCTCATTTCTTCTGATGAGCATCCATTTGCCAGATGAATGTGTACATGATCATTGTATTCCTTTTATATTAATAATGTCAATAATGCTGCTAATTATCTATATTATCTACAGAATACCTATCGTGCCAGAGATAATCCTAGGGCTCTTCTAAGTTTCTAGTTTCTACAGAAATAGATTGCTTCATTCATCTTACAATTGAAGCCAAATAATTAAACATATTCTTGTTTAAAGGAGCCCCGGTGGCAATGCCAGGTAAGCATTGGACAGTTCATCACAATGTCAGTGGTTCGAAACCACCAGCCACTCCCAGGGATAAAATTAAGACTGTTTCCTCTGTAAAGTTTTACAATCTCAAAACCCTATATGTGCTTTGCTGTGAGTCAGCATTGACTCCATGGCCATGGGTGGTGTTTACATCTTTTACTTGCAGCAATTGAAATGTAGCTATATATTTTATCTCCCAGCGTACTCTACTAATACAAATTCAGAACAGTTCTTCTTGTTATATTTCCTTTTATAAAAGTGGAACACACTAGGTATCATATTTCTTTATGTAAAAGACACCTCCCTGCTTTATGCCAAGACCTAGCTTTATCCATTGCTTTCTCCTGGTTTCCTGTCTCATGGTGTAGCAATGAGTCACAAACAATGGTGAGTATAAGATTAAAAATATTATTTCAATCTGAAAGAGAGCAAGGTTTCTAGGCATAATGGACCAACATGCTTCCAGAAACAAATATGTTGGTAGCTGTGAGATGGAAAACTTTCTTTGTAAGAAGGCATGTTGGGGGAAATGGTTGACAATTAGGTAACAGAGTGGCTGGGAGTCAGTAATCGAGTGGGGAAGACAAACCAGTGTCCCAGGAGATGCATCGTGCTAACCCCAGCCCTTCTTTTTGAGGGGCCTAGACCTGAGGCTTCTGAAGGTGACCCTATTTCCACCCCAGGGGTGAACAGCAGCAGTCGCACCATGATCCAGCACCACTTTCTGCAAAATTGTTTTCCTATTTGGTTCAGAACTTTTCATAACCAGTAAAACATTCCGGTATTTATGATCAAGTGTAAAGCACCCAAGTTGGTAAAGTACTATCTTAAAGTTGAAGACTTAATAACCCCGCAATGCAGAGATTGGCTGTCACCAGCAGGCAGAGAGCTGTGGCACACAAAAACACCAGTTTGTGTGATAAATGCTTGACAGCCTTGCCTACACACAACCAAAGAAAATAACACGCCCGTGACAGCTACAACAGCAGCAATTTTAAACTCCTCACTGATGAAATGCACTTTGCAGTCATAGCTCTTGCATAAATCTGGATGTCACTTCTTTCATGGTATAATTTTGTGATCCAATGGATCATTGCAAAGACCCTATCGCTGCAAATGAGCTCAATAATGCAGAATGTGCACAAATCATTGAGCTATCAGTGACATCAGGGGATTGGCTGCTGGGGTTATTAACAGATATTTTTTCACCTCAAAGCATAGGCTAAAATCAATCATTCTGATAACCACGCATGGCGTGAGCTGTCTGTACTTTCATTTCAATCTGATTAATCACATATACACAGACCTTTACCTTAAAGGAGCAATTGTTCACATTTAATCACAAAGAAACATTCAAGCATACCATCAGCCATTACTAAATTTAACCACAATCTATACTTCCTGTTTTAACAAATATATTTATGCTAATATGGATTTCCGCATAGAAACACATTGTTTCATTCATTTTACCAGCATTAAAATCAAAGCTAAGTAAATGAACCCACTGTGTTTTATACCATTTATCATCTGCTGCTTCCCACTTTTGAAGCTTCCATTATACCCATGTATTCTATTGCACAATTTACCTCGATAATCAAAGTGCAAAAAAATTATCAGCATTATGCTTTCTTACGTAAAGTAGAATACGCTGGATATCTATCAGAATTCATTATGTAACGTGCCCTTCTTCTTGTCAAGATTTGATTCTATTACCCCATCAATTTATCCTGGTTTCAATATTGCAAAGAAACAAATACTGTTGTGGGTGCAGGATTTTTTTTTCCTTCCAAATCTGAACTAGAGTTGGGACAGAATAGATCTCTGTCATGATCCTCACAACAGTGTCCCCAGGAAACGAAGCATTTCAGAAGGGACATGTCGTTACTGTAACAACAGAAAGACAGGGTTTAGAGAGGACCTTTTCTCTCAGAAGCCACAGGTGAATTGTCATCAAACGAGTCAAAATTTAAAGGGTTTTAATGTGTAAACAGAGCATACACAGAATCTTGGGGGGCAAGAGAGAAGGGCAATTTAAGGTATATAGAAAGCTTCTAGACCAGAGGTATAACACAGGGAAGTGAAAAGTTCATTATCAGAGCTGTAGAAAATCATCCTACTGGTGGGATGTGCTCACAAAGTAAATAATTCATAATGGTTAACCTCAGAGAGAAGAAAGGATCATCCTTCAGTTGTCTGACCCAAGAACAGACAGACTCAGCTTTAGAGAGCGGTAAAGCCACTGGTCCTGGGACCAAGACTCCTCATGGTCAGTCAGGCTCTTGAAGATACTGAGAACCATCATGGAAAGTGCTGAGATGTTGCCTTGTGGAGATGAGTCTTCATCTCTTCGAGGATTTCTCTCTTCCTCAACTTAGTTTCTGCTTCACCAACTTGTTCTCAAGCCAAACTTCTTGGTCTTGAACATTTCCTATCCAACCCCCACATGAGAGTGAATTTCCACTGGGGGGACTAACTCAGTCTATCTGCAACTGCAAGGAAATCCTTTCCATATGACAAATCCCATTCTCCATTCCTACACTCTAGATGTTCATTTCTTCCTATATAAACATGAACCGAGAAGCCTGGTGGCATAGCAAGTCAACTGCCGGATTTGTAACCACCAG